TATCTGCCACATTTGACAACAAATGAGAGAGCAAATGAGGTTCCCTCTTCGCCAGAAGTTGCATGATTTTACCCGATCAATTTTTGCTGATAAAATCTGATAAAGTCAACCATCAGCTGTTCTGTATTAACAAAGCAATTTCAATTTTCAGTAAACCAAAACAAAAGCGTTGCCGTACTTCTTAGTTTTCCTCTGCTTCTGTGAGAACGATTTTGGTTTTTGACAGTCTTACCAGTTCTTTCTAGAATATTTGGGGAACGAAAACCACTGTTATGTCCCATTATTTTCCGAATTCTACATATTAGGTTGTCAAAACTTGTCTAAACTTTTTTATCACAGCGTATTAGTTTTCGTGCTTTTTTGAATTTTTAATCTTTTATGTCAACTCAGCCTTTTTATAATTGGCTTATAAATAACTAGGTCGGTCTAAGAGCTAAATACTGCAATAACCCTAACAAGGGTAAACATTCGCCAAAACTATTCCCGGATCCATCATCCTCACAAAAATTCCGCCCTTTGTTAGACAATTGTCAGCCTAGGAGACAGAATGATGCAGGGCGTAAAGATCCTCCCGTTTGGTGCGCGTCGGCGGTGTTACTGCTTTTCAATCGGCGGTAAAAGATCAAAGTTTTTTACATTCGATTCAATTAAAACTTGGGTTACCGAAAGACAACTACAAACTCGATCTTCAAAATGTTTCAATGTTTTCGTTGAAGCATTTCTGGATTTAATTATACCAGTTTGGTACTTCGTTTATAAAGTCAGATTTTGATCCGTTTCATTAACCGAAGAGGCCTCATCTCACTAAACTACATCTTCTTCTTGCTTGGCGCCGTAACTGCCTAATACTAAGTTCAGACAGAAATTTAATTGATTAAGTTAACCTACATATTAATTGCGCTACTGCTTTTTGGTATTCACACACAGTCAGCTGCTCGATTAGCTACAGTGATGGAAAAGTTGGTACAATCGTACATTTATTTAGTTTGAAAGTACATTCGTACAAACACACCATTTTAGGCAAATGATATCAAAGGGTAGCCAAAGTAACCTAACTGTAGTTGATTACGCCAGAAATACAGAGAATACTTCCTTTTTAAATGTCAGATCGAAGAATTCGGAGGAAAGTGATTCACTTTTTCGAAAACGTAGTTTTGCTTAGAACTGCTCTAAGAGATTTTTTCAGAGCAAAATTTGTTTAATGTGAGTCTAGAAGTTGGTATGGTACAGAAGGGAAAGGTTATCCTCTTATTTTCTTTAATATATACACATTAAAATACATAGGTGTTTTTTCGCAGGTAAGGTAACTTTTAAAATAAAATTGTCCATCCCTGATGAAATATCAGCTGCAAAAGAGGAAAAAACAAACAGCTTATTGATATTTGTTTAGTAAGCATTCCTGAAGGTTACAATTAAATATACCCAGCAGGGTTGCATGAAAAAATTTGTTCAATTAGTCTTCAATTAAGCGTTAATCGAGCAATTAAGAATTGAAATTTTAAATGGTAAACCGAGCTCAATTAGCGTCTTAATCGAGAAAGTTTGGCTAACTGCTCGATTAGCGGCCAGTCTGAACAAACTTTAAACTGTTTCTCAAGGTTGTATGCTCTAAATAACCGAGCCAGCGAAGAAACGTAAGTTTTTTCGACAGTTCGGTATCGTACATTTTTCGTATATGGATACGTATGGATCTGAAAAACGTTTGAAAAATATCATGCTATCTGTCGCAATAAATGGATTCGTTAGTTTTGTTTTATTTTTTCCGAGCTATGAAAATCAAATTTTCTGTACATACACTTCTGTCGCACAATTTAGTAGGAATACGGATCGGCAATGTATCCGAAAATGGAATCGGTAAATGGACGAAAATTTGCATTTCATACACTTGCCTTTTTCGAATTTTTTGCTGGCTGGAAAAATAATTTTCAGAGTTATGAAATGTTTTTTTTTTTATAACAATTTATAAAAACTAAAAAAAGTGCAAAAAAAAATTAACTTGAAAAATATTGTGAATATTAAAAAAAAAATCAACACGTGGTCACTTGTTTCAGTCATTTACATTTGTTACAAATTATACATCGAATAGATTAGTACAGAGTAAAAATTTCGGACAATCTTTTTAAAAGAAAACATTTAATTATAGTTTTAAATATTTATAAATACAAATAAACCGAATGTACAATTTTTGTTCCAAAGGCCGATCTTCATACGATTAATCTCAAAATGAAGTTTGGAATTGAGTTTCATTCGATATCGACAATCGTGATTTGGGGGCTAGTATGATATGGTTTGGAGGCGTCGAATTGAAGCTAGAAAATATCTGATAAATTCATTCGAAAATCATAGAAAACCAAGAAGCTGCGAAACTTGCCCTCTTCACCGAAGTTATCACGCTAGATTCTAAAAGGAAATAACAAGGCATTAAATGGAAACCTATTTTTGATTTAGCTAAATTCTTCACTGAACAACAACCGAACTTAATATGCCAAAAAAGTAAAAAACGATGAAAAACGTAGAAATCGAGTATACCAACCGAATAGAAAAGAAATAAAATAAAACAAAAGATAGATTTTTATTATATTTTTTCAATAATTTTTCAACATTTTATTTTCTTCACTGTTTCCACTGAAGCTCATTATCAACTTTTTCTGCATATATGTTTTTTTTCGCACTTAACATTTATTATTAGCGTTGCAGGTTTGCCGCTGCTTTACATTTGCCATGCGTAATGTTGCAAATGTGTAAATTGCATTACAAAAAAAAAATAATAATAATAATATTTTAATAAACATAATTATAATAAAAATAAAACAAAAGTAAAGTATGCGTCTTACATTTAAAGTTAAAAGATAAATTTCAGTTTTAAATTATTAAAAGCTTAAAACAGCGAAGGCAAATGACTGTCGCATTGGGCATTGTATTTTTATTAAGCTATGTGTGTGTGGGTGTTTTTTTTTGTATAACTTGTAACGCTCGATTTAACTAATATTACATATTTTTATTCATTATGTATTTGCTTATATGCAGTTTGCTTAATATTTGAAAAATTTTCATTAAATGGTTGAGGAATAATAAATAACAATTCACTGTATACTTTTTGTCTGTTTTTTCTTTAGATCATTCATTTATATGTTAAATTTTTAGTGTTAAAACTTAATAGGTAAATACTTAAATTGGGCATAATTATAAAGTTTAATAGTTGTATTAAAATTGTCAATTAAAATTATTAAAATAAATGTATGTGTGTATGTATATGCAGATGTACATATGTTTGTCGCTAAATGTAGCAAAGGTAAATGTAAAAACTTTCAATTGAAACACAATTATTTGCATTTGCTGTTTAAAAGCATAATTTTTCATTATTTGCTTACTACTTAATCTAGAAAAACTAGCATAGTCGAATTTATTTTGCGTTTTTTTTTTTAAATTAATCCATACAAGTTTTAATATTTTACATACATATTTTACGATGCGACGAAATTCATTTACAATTTTAAAATAATACAGTTAATTTAAATGAAACTCATTAATTTACAATTGGTAGATTATAAAATGTCAGCGAAAAAAGTAAATTTAAATGTAAAACTGTTGAAGCCAANTAGCATAGTCGAATTTATTTTGCGTTTTTTTTTTTAAATTAATCCATACATGTTTTAATATTTTACATACATATTTTACGATGCGACGAAATTCATTTACAATTTTAAAATAATACAGTTAATTTAAATGAAATTCATTAATTTACAATTGGTAGATTATAAAATGTCAGCGAAAAAAGTAAATTTAAATGTAAAACTGTTGAAGCCAATTTAAAAAAAAAATTAACTACCTCTTAATGTTTTGTACAACAGTTGGTAGGCTTAATCAAATTAAATATAATTTTTTACTTACATTTCATTCACCTCAAATTTAGTTTAATGTTGTATTTTTCAATAAAAACTAAACTTATAAATTTATTTATATAAAATTGCACAATTTTTTTTATTAATTCTTTACGTAACTCATAAACTAACATTTATTTACTACTGCCTTCCTTGAAAAAAAAACCTGCTTTTGCAACAGTTTTCTTTTCACTATATTAAACTAAAATAATATTAAAACTTAGTACTTACAAAAAAAAAAAAAGAAACTAGCTTTCAACTAAAGCATATCAAATTTCAAACAACATTCCTGTGTGTAGTGAAAAAAATTTATTTAAAAAATTTTAATTTAGTTTGCGTTTTCACGCTTTTAAGCTATCAAAAAAATAAGGCCATATTTTCTTTGAACTAAAAAAAAATTTAGTAAGATAAAAATAAACATTGCATTATCGCCAAAATTTTGTCAAAAAAATTTATTTTTGGTAAAGTTAAAGCAAAGTTTGTATTAAAGAAAAAATAATTGTTTCTTGAAAATTCATTAAAATAACATACATATGTACATAGTTTAATTTTAGTGTAAAGAAATTTTGATTTTATGCTTGCGATTCGAAGTTGGAAACAAATTTTGTCAGCCTAAAGCAAAACAAAGTAGCTAAAAATACTACTAAATATATACATACCTACATTTATATAAAACGTGTATTTGCAGTGTCAAGTTGTTAGCATAACGAGTAATTATGAAGTGCACAAAAAAGTTTGTGCTCATTTTTTTTTTAAATTATTTCTTTTTTTTGCTTGCTAAAAGCTAAAATAGTCTAGCACATAATACGCTAAAATTAGTGTGAAGTCTTTTACGCAAAAAAAGTGATTGCAGGAATGGGTTATTTCTTGTTTTATTTTAATTAGGATGAGCTGCTTTTTTGAAAATTTTGATTCGCATGTAATAATTTTTTTAAGTATTCTTAAAAGAACTGGTTTGTTTGAAAGAGCGCAGAAAGAGAGGGGTTGACAAAGATTTTTATTGTTTTGAAATTTTGAAAAAATAAGCAAATATATTTACATACCTTTATGGGTAAAGATGTTATTTAACGTTAAAATCATGTTGCTTTATTTTATAAATTAACAAAAACAAAATAAATTGTAAAAAATTGTATTTAAGAAATTTTAACTTCACTGAGTTGGATGCAAAAATATGAAAATTAAGGTTGAATATCAAAACGAATTTTTCCACGAAAAAAATCTAACAAAATTTATAAAAAAATTGTTATCAAACTTTTATGACNAAGCAAAACAAAGTAGCTAAAAATACTACTAAATATATACATACCTACATATATAAAACGTGTATTTGCAGTGTCAAGTTGTTAGCATAACGAGTGATTATGAAGTGCACAAAAAAGTTTGTGCTAATTTTTTTTTAAATTATTTCTTTTTTTTTTGCTTGCTAAAAGCTAAAATAGTCTAGCACATAATACGCTAAAATTAAAGTTTGAAGTCTTTTGCGCAAAAGAAGTGATTGCAGGAATGGGTTATTTCTTGTTTTATTTTAATTAGGATGAGCTGCTTTTTTGAAAATTTTGATTCGCATATAATAATTTTTTTAAGTATTCTTAAAAGAACTGGTTTGTTTGAAAGAGAGTTGACAAAGATTTTTATTGTTTTGAAATTTTGAAAAAATAAGCAAATATATTTATTTACACACATTTATGGGTAAAGATGTAATTTAACGTTAAAATCATGTTGGTTTATTTTATAAATTAACAAAAATAAAATAAATTGTAAAAAATTGTATTTAAGAAATTTTAACTTCACTGAGTTGGATGCAAAAAAATTAAAATTAAGGTTGAATATCAAAACGAATTTTTCCACGAAAAAAATCTAACAAAATTTAGAAAAAAAATTGTTATCAAACTTTTATGTGNAGTTGGATGCAAAAATATGAAAATTAAGGTTGAATATCAAAACGAATTTTTCCACGAAAAAAATCTAACAAAATTTATAAAAAAATTGTTATCAAACTTTTATGACTCAATGATTATTGCAAACTATGAAACAAAAATTAAGCTACTCAAAGTGAAATTTTTAAATATTACAAATTAAATGTAAAACCCGAAAATCTCTACAAACCATGCTTTTAGAGTATTCTTAAGAGAAGAGAACTCTTAAAGTATTCGTAAAGAAGTAATTTTTTCCCTTTCGGATTTTTTGCTGAATTTTTTAAGATAAAATATGTTGCGCACACATCGTTTTTTTTACGAAATTTCAGAAATCATAAAATTTCTTCAATTGNTGAAACAAAAATTAAGCTACTCAAAGTGAAATTTTTAAATATTACAAATTGCTGAATTTTTTAAGATAAAATGTGTTGCGCACACATCGTTTTTTTTACGAAATCAATAAAATTTCTTCAATTTTTTCCAGATTTTTTCAGCAGTTTCGCTAAGAAATCGTACACTGAAGATTGCACAGCGCCGAAACCGGTTTGTCTTCAAACCAAACTTTACGATGTTCCAAAATACATAGTACAGAAATTTCTTTACGAATTCATGTCAACCACTTCATTTGAATTTTTTTTGAATATTCGTAGAGAAATCACCACAGAATTCGGAACAAAGTTCCAATACTCTTAAAGATATCGTTAAAATTTCGGGTACTTTGCTTTGCAGGGATATTGCCTGAATACATATTATCAGCTCTTACACGAATTCCGTGAGAATAAATTGTGCTCACAAAATGGCAATGGAAATTATTTGTTCACATAGAATGCACGAAAAGGCAAAACACATTTTACAAAGATTTTATGTAATGTTACGCAAAGTATTTTCGGCTGAAGAATAATAAATTATAACCAAATTTTAGTGCTGTAATTTTGCAATAAAAATTTGTTTGTGAACCAACCCTTTGACTCTTTCTCAACAATAACAATCTCAGTCGTTTACCCAAATTTGGTAGCATTTCTTGAAAAATAACAAACTTCAATCACTTTCTGTTAAAAATTTGTTTATCGTGTAAAAACACAAATTTGAAGCACTCGGGACTTGAAAATATGATGATTTTTTTTTTTAATGTTCTCAGTGTTTCTGTTTTTATTTTCATATTTAAATACCTAAACATAAATTTATTTTTATAAGATTTCCAAAAGTAAAAATTTTCTGAACGCTTTCTAATATAGTATGTATATTTTTCCAAAAAGAAAAAAATGATGAACAAGAAAAAAATTAAATTTGCCGCCAAAAATGAGTTAACATTTTTTATATGTTGATGACGAAATGCTTTTTTGCTATGTATATATGTATGTGCGAAAATCCTTTTTGAAAAAAAATAAAGCAAAAAAGGAGGGAATTATTTAACTTTTTATAAACAATTTTGTTTTAGATTTTTATTTTATTATTTCAATGTAAATTTAGTACTTGCTAAACTAGATAATATTAGTCCGATATATTATTATTTTTTTTTTTACATTTTTCTTTGTTAATAAATATTATTTTTCAAATTCACACATACTCCTCTTTAAAGAAAAGAGTATTTACTTTTAAACGTTTTTTTTTTTAAATATAAAAATCAGTCCAACTTGTCGTTTTATGTGTATGCGTGNTTTTTTTTTTTTAATATAAAAATCAGTCCAACTTGTCGTTTTATGTGTATGCGTATGTGTTTGTGTTTATTTACTTTTATTTTAATATGCAAATTTCAAAACAAAAAAGCAACCTGTGTTATGAATGTGTAATAAAAACGCTTTGAAATTTCAAAAAAAAAGGAAAGTACGATACACAATGTGACTTTGCTATTTTATGCAGACCTGTAATTAACACGNAACCTGTGTTATGAATGTGTAATAAAAACGCTTTGAAATTTCAAAAAAAATAAGGAAAGTACGATACACAATGTGACTTTGCTATTTTATGCAGACCTGTAATTAACACAATATTTAAAGACTCATTTTTCCATTTATGTATTGTGAACTCGATTTAGTAAAGCTTTGCGCTTTTAAAATCCTAAAAATTCATTTCATTACGGTTTTGTTCCTAGACATTAATGGAAATCCAAGTTTTTAAAAATTTTCTTTTTTTAGCTTATAAAATAATGAAAGCATGGGTATGAACGTTTTAAAAACTGAGATATTTGCAGAGCTTTCTGCGTGCTACACTCTCCGATCAATTAAGTGAAATATTTATTTATTTATTTTATGAACATTCAAAAATACAAATTCGTTTTCATTTACATATTATCCGGTTAGGGTGCATCACCAAAAAATTATGCGTCTTTTCGACTGGAATTATAAAACTGTTCATTTTTTTAGACTTCCGCCAAAATATTTCGGAAGCATATGTTGATTTACGTGAGCAAGACTGATTTGAAAATACCTCAACAAATCTCATAATTCTAATTCCATTGTTAAGATTTTTCACAATTTTCATGCAGACCTTTTAAGCTTAAACTTTTTATGTATCATCTGATTTGATTTTTTGGACAAAATATATTTTTATAAAAACTAATTTCACTTATAAAATGCTCGATTTTTGGAAGAATTTTCCAGATCATGTAAATCTTAATCACGCATATTCCGATATCCGACGGATGCCATCCGCACAGATGGCATACGATTCGCACGGTCATAACAAGCGAGCGCGAAGATTTAGATTTGTATGAAAGGGATCAGTCGGGCCGGAATAGGCATGTTTCCGAGGGATGCCATTCGCACGAATCTAATCCTCCTCACTCATTTGTTATGACACTGCGAATCGGATTAGATCTGTGCGGATGGCATCCATTGGATACCGTAATAGGTATGAATATTTTAGTGGAAGTCTTTAAATATCATAGATTTTATAATTCCGTTGAAAAACAGTGCCTATTTTTTTGTAACGCGAGTGACGCACCCTAAAACATATGCATATACAAATACTTTTACGAATAAATATTGGTCATAGTAATATGTATATGTATAGGGTGTTTTCCGTTGAAAGATTTCTTGTTCGAAAATGTTGATATTTGAAGTTTGGTATTGTTCGAAAATTACGTTATTTGGAATGTTCGGAAATGCCAATATTCGAAATTCGCCACTGTTCGAAACATTCCAAAGTTCGAAATTCGCACTGTTCGAAAGGTACGATAATTGGCAATGTTTGGGGATGAGTGTGTTCAAAATTAAACATTTAATGTTCAGAATTTGTCATTGTTCAAAAATTTTCAGTGTTCGAAAATGTTAATGTTAAAAAATTGTCAATGAAAACTGAGTTTTTGTGTACCAAATTTGTCAAAACTAGAAAATGTCATTGTTAGTAAAATTTCGAGGTTCGAAATTGCCAATTTTCGAACTTTAATTTTCAATGTTTGAAATTGGTCAAGGTTGGAAAATTGTCAATGTTCGAGAACTGTCTGTGTTCGAAAACTCAAATTTTTTATTTTCAAAATTCGTCATTAATCGAAAAAGTTTACTGTTCGAAAAAGACCATGTTCGAAAAAATTGTCACTATCTGAAAACTGACTGTCTTCGAAAATTGACAATCTTCCAAAATGCGAATGATTGTTCGAAAATTGCTTATGTTCCAAAATTGACTACGTTCAAAAATTTTAAATTTTCGGGATTTGTAAATGCTGGAAAATTAACGATATTCGCAATGTTTCAACGCCCAGTTTTTGAAAATTGTCAATGTTCGTTTGATACTCGAGCGGATGGTGTTATATTTTCTTCCATACAAAAAAAATTATCGAACGTCCTTTGTTTGTATGGAAGAAAACGCGTGACACCATCAGCAAAAAAAAATTACTAAAATTCAATGCGATTTCTTAGCTACTTGAAAACTGCACTTTATCAAGCTAGAATTTAATGGGCTATTGAACTGCATAGCTAGAATTTTTATACAAATTCTGAAGAAAATTTTTGTCGAAAAATTGTGTTTAATTTTTATAATTTTTCTACAAAATTTGAAATTTCAACCTACATATATGGTTTTCGTTAGTTAATGAACTGTATTTTTATAAAAAAAAAATAATAAACATTAAACAAACAATAGAACAATAGCCAAAACTGCGGGAGATTTTGTAACCATTTAGCGATAATTTTCGGATCGCTATTGCACTTTTTCACGCATGATATGAATACGGTGTGGTTGGAAAAGAAAAGTTTTAGTATTCGGTTTAATAAAATAGTAAATATTCATATATTTTATCTGTAAATTTAAGTATGAAGTCTATAAATAGCAAAGTACATTTTATATTTCACACGCAGCATACGTGCATATCAACGAAGATCGCATTCATTTTAGGCACTAAATAGCGTACCTTTGCCGCAAGAGTGTGATAATAAATAAAAAAAGATTTAGAGCTACATATGTAAGTATGCAACAGTGACCGACAATGACCAAGATTTATATCTGGTCAAGGACGGTCACTCCAGCATTACTCCTCAAAAACTCGTTGGCTAGTTTGTATGCTGTTACGACAACAACAACAATAAGCGTCATCTTATCTTCTCAGTTGTGTAAAGCTCAATATTTAAAAGAAAATGTATTTTAGTTTTACCATGTGAGCTAAGATAAATTTTAAACTTTAAAGCCATTTTCCTCAAGTTTTTGATTCTTCGGATTATAACACTCTTGCAGCAAAGGTAGGTTTTATTTTTATACATTTTTTTTTCAAATTTCAGAGTGCATGAGTTTTGGGTGTTTAAATAAAATTCAGTTGGGTATAAGTATATGTACATATGTTAGTATACTGAATGATCTGTAATTTTGAAAAATCTATTTCTTCATTTGCAGAGTTTAACAATAATAAGTCAAAGAATTTATTTTGCATTAAAACACAAAGGAAAAATAATAATATTTAAAATCATTAAATGTTTTTTGTAGTTTGCATTTGTATATGTGTATGTATGCATGTAAAGTCAATAAAAGTAAGTGTAAGCGCTTATAATAAATTGCATAATAATTATTGAAAAGAAAAACTTAAATAGTTTTGTTACTTTTTTTTTACACACTACATACAACTTTCACATATTACAGACTTAAGAAAAAAATCTTTCTTAATTTCATTCTTTTTGTTTCTTTGTTTTAATCCTCAGCTCCTACAACGCCGTGTATATTTTTATGTATGTGTGTGCCGAGTGTTTAATGTAAGTGTGTGTGTGTGTGTTTCGTCTAACTTGTTTAACTAAACGTCGACTATGCTTGCATGCGTTTACATAGTTAGAGCCGCTGGGTACGTATACCTAAATGTATGCTACGCTAGAATTAATTTTTTATTTTATTTTAAAATTACAACTATTCACTATACAAATAGTACTTTTGCTCCGTTTTTTACAATAAGTTTTTGTGTTTTCAGTGTTTTCCTTATTTTTTTTTATTTTGCTTCAATTTCTTGCTTCAAAACAAACAAAAAAATGAAACATATCGTCTTCGATTTTACAGTTTTACTTCTTTATTTAAATGTATAAATACAAAATGGCGCATGCGTACGGTTTACGATGGCTGCTGCAGTGTCAAGTATAATTTACAACTGTTTTTTTTTTTGCTTAGCTCCACTGCACCACTGTCCGTCGCAACGCTTGCACGCGCCTTCACTTAATCACTAAATAACTGCAGTTTTTCTTGTTTTAGCTTGCACAGTAGTTAAACCAACAAAATTTAACATATGTACACACCCCACAAACATTCATTCATACATGCATATGTACATATTTATGCACGTACATACATACGTATATGTATGACCGCAAATTTCTTTAATAGCTTGTCTAGCTGCCAAACATTCATGCCAACTGCTCGCCTAAGCAGCACTGCGCAGCACGCTCACTCCCCACCGCTTAACAACAAACAAAAGCTTAATATTAAATCAAACAAATGTGCGTGCCACGCTCGCTGCGCATAACAATAATCCCGTTCGCCCTCCTAGTCCCCCATCCCTCTCTTCCATTAGCTGCTTGCCCGCTAATTAATGGAGCCCATGACCACCGCTGCCTCGCTTCATAGCAGTAACACTAATTCTACTACTGCTCGCATCCACGACGACATCAGCGTCATCAATTGCATCGTCCATGCTATCATCCATGTTAACATCGTCGTCGTCGGCTATCACACGTCTGCCACTGCCGAGCAGCAGCGTCTGTTGCTGCTTACGCTCGTGCTGCTATGCCGCCGTGTTGTTGTCGCCACCGCCCATTAGATGCTCCTGCTTCAATTGTATGCCCATCATGTGGTGGTCACCAGATAGCTGCATACCAATTAAATGTTCAGACTTAAGCGTCAGATTGCCACCGATGCCAATACCGCTGCCTGGACCCATGATGTACTCCTGCTTTAGTGGCATGCCGTATAAGCTCGACGTACCCGCCGTCGCCGCTGATGATAGGCCACCATTCAAGCCAATTGATGTGCCAGTTGTTGAACTGGGCGAGTGATTCGAAAAGCTACCACCGCTACCGCTGACCATATCCGTTGGTGAGGCAGACGATGAGCTGGCTGCCGCTGATGTGGATGTGGTGGCGACTCCTGAATTGACCTCTAAACTTTCGCGTTCCGCTTGCATTGCCTGTATATGTGATTGCACGGAGGGTGGCACCGCATGCACATCCCAGATTTCTTCGAGGAATTTCGGCAGTTTACGATTCTTCAATTTCAACGAGAAACACATTTCGGCATTCTGATTGCCCAGCGTGCGAAGCTCGGTGAGTATGGAGAGTAGTTTGGCGAAGAAGACGAGACTCATCGTATCGCCGCAATGTCGATTTAATATATAAACGCGCAGCGTATTGATGTAGTAACTTTGTATCGCTTCGACTAGTTCGGCCTGTTCGAGTCCCGGCCGATCGGAGAAGATCACAATGGCAGTGAGGAGGGCGTATTCAACGTTGTCGACCTTCATCGAGTACATCTGCCGACAGAAATGCAATAAATCCTCAATATTGTCGGCCACACCGGCCATTTTGTACGCATCACGCGTATATGAACGATTGTTGGCGAAGAATATGGAATCCGAATTGTGATCGTAGCGTCGGGCCATGCGCAACATCATCACCTCCGATGAGCAGGCCTGCGTATTGGAGTTGAAATGTAAACAATGTTAGCAAGTGGACGTATGTATATACATAGATATGTGTTTTGAAAAGAAAAGCTATTTATGCTTACCTTCAGCAACGTGATTTGATCCTCTTGTGGAATTTTCGTAAATGCTGGTAAACCTTTCGCAAATTCCACTATAAGCTGTACTGTCAAAATCGTAATTTCGGTTATATGCCGAAAGCTGACATCGTTTGGGCTTTCATTTTCATCGGGGGTGCTCTGTGGGGAAGGAAAGAAATGTTAGATTCGCAATTTCTGCCACAGTCGGTGAACAATGCATGGAAAAGGAGAGTTTAGGTATCGATCCTTGTTAAGCAGTAAAGATTATGAGGAGATCTACACTTCCAAGACCAGGTTAATGACCCATCTTCACTCAAAGGAGGAATGGTCAACGGACACAGTCAGGAGAGGAGGATCAACCAATATTTAGACGGATGGATCGAAACTCAAGAAAAAAGTTGGTGGTGGGGTTTACTCGGAACAGTTTAGCATATCGTTGACTGATGGTTATCTCAAAAGCCGCATCACTGGTACTGTGTGGTACGAGTCCTAGTTAAGATGTCTAAAGTATATTGACATGAAATCACTGATAGCCAGGCGGCTATTAAATCTCAGGGAAAAATGTCCCTGACTTCAAAAGTAGTTGCTCAACGCCACCGATCTCTTAACGATCGCAAGGCTGAGGAACTCGCAAGTCATGGAACGAAATTGCCTGAAACAGATATAAGGGATACTCTCGGCCTCGCTCTTCAAACATGTCAATTTATACAGAAAGAAGCATTCATAGAAATGGCCAATAAAATATGGCGTATGGAAGCGGCCTGTCATATTGCCAAAACACTGGGGCCAGCCATAATTGCTCAACGCACTAAGCCTCTGTTAATCTAAAGATCCACGTAGCTAGACTGGGCGCTCCCTGAAAAGACTACTGCACAAGCTGCATGGATGAGGAGAAAGAAGAAACCATCCCACATCTTCTCTGCCACTTCCCGGCTCTTCTCGATGACCTCAAAGCAATGAATGCTAGAAGGTGTTCATAGTGGAGCGGGGATAAATGAAAACCTCGTTCGGTATCACAAAGAAACCTAGTCTAAGTGAGCCATATAGGACTACTAAAAAGTATGATTTTTATGAATTAAAAAAAGCTGTAACAGAACTCCTCAAAAAGAACTTCTGATGTACATACGTCCAAGAAAATCCCTTCTATGGATATCGGATGCAGAAGCCGGTTTCGATCGAAAGTGGGTTAAACTGGCCGGAAGTCCATTTTTTTTTTAAAGTAGAACATACGTGTTTCTATATTAGCTCGGAATTTGTGGACAGAAATACATAGCTTTTGCTTCTAAATTTTTTTTCTCGAAGTGCCTTTTTTAACTTTGAATGGCCTTCGAATTTCAACTCGGCCTGGACTTAAAAAAAAAATGAACGAAACTGTTTTTATAGGAAAAAATTAGCTACCAATTGGAGGGTCCTCTATCTTTTGTTCAAATTATCAACCAGAAGTCAAGTTTTTTAAATGGGGCATGAATGCTTTTTCCAAAGATTCCAAAGAACATGCCCGACATGGAAATTCATATGTTTTAGTTTTCCAGTAAACACTTTTTTTGTCCATTTTAAAAGTTCAGAACGAGTGGAAATTCGAAGATCATTTAGGGGTTGAAAAAGGCACTTCCGAGAATAAAGTTTAAAAATTAACGTATTTTTATTTATTTTTCGGGCCAGTTTTCAAAATATCTTTTTGTTTTTTTAGGAGCTATTCCGGCCGGTTCTTTTCCAAATAAATAAAAACAGACTCCCTGAAAAAGGCGAAAAACAACGCCGAAACGCGTAGGAGGAAAAAAGGAAACTTGTTTTTGCTTTTTTAAACTACCGGCCGGAAAAGCTCCTAACGTATTTTTGTTGCACAATCCGAATCTGTGGTAAAAGCACGTAAATATATAAGAAAAAGCTTCCACGATTTGGTAGGTAATATTTTTGCGTTTGAAAATAAAACACCTTTTGCCCCATTTTAGAAGGGGCGGAAAGGTGGTCTAGGACATCGTCGAAGAATCTATTAATGGGTCCATTCAGTAAAGACCGCTTACGATATTATTAGTTTAGATCGAAACAGAAAAGCAAATAAATGGCGAGAGTGATCGCTCTTAACTTATCGGTTTAAGGCAAAATGTCTATCATGGCAGCTATTCATAATTCAGTCGGCAAAAAATCGTCTAATTGAATAAGACAAACTTTGAGAGGATTGCATTTCGAAGCTGTTTACGATCGGTTATTTCGCATTGTGTTTTATTCAATCAACTCACCATAATACGCTTGAGATCTTCCTCCGATGGCTGTTCGTAGCCATCCTGATACCAGATCAACTTGTATATAACCGCCAACTGATTGCGTGTAAGCGGCGGAATGTTGCTCGCCTTGCACTTGGCCACAATGTCATCAGGTAGCAACTAAAAATATGTAAATAAAAAAAAATAAAAATAGTTAAAGAGTTCCTTAACACCACTTCAAATGATTACTTACCGGACATGTTGGATGCGACGGCTGTTCGCAGTTCATCAGTTCGAGTATCTCATTCTTTATTGACTCACTCTTACAAATAATCGGCGAATTGCCTGTCGTCTGCTTTTCCTTCTCTTTTTGCGCTTTCTTTTCACGCCGCTTCATAGCGCACTGATTCTCCGGCACAACACATTCCGGTCGCATGCCTACCGCTAGGCATTTCTTCAGTCTACACTCTTGACATTTACGTCGCATATACATGTCCATTTCGCAGGAGTGCCCAAATTTGCAACAATACACAGCATTTTTCGTGACACTACGACGAAAGAAACCCTTACAGCCTTCGCAGGTGAGTGCATTGTAATGATAACCTGATGCCCGATCGCCGCACACCAAACACAGTTCCTCTTGTAGTCGCGGCGCTGGACCCTTTTTAATCTTTTTAACATCACAACTTTCATTGGCCGAATAGCCGTTAAGACTGCTGGAAGGTGAGAGATCATCGCGACCTGGTGAGTATGAGAATGAGAATATGATTAATTGATTGTTGTTTTTATGTGGCAGTTTATAAGAGATGATTGAAACAGGTTTGAGAGAGTGTTGGCTGTGAGAGTAATTACCATAAAACTTGCATAAAGCCATCGCACCATGGGCCAGCAGTTAATCAAAAGTGGTGAAATTTATAGTTATAAACCTAAAAGTTTTGGTGTCCGACCTTCTTTTAAATATGCATTAATCTCAACTAACCGCCTATAGAAAGTTTCATAAAAATGTATTAATTTTTTTTTAAGTCATCCGCCATATTTTAACATGCCATTTGAGTACTCAAAATCTGACTTCAGATTCGAAATCAGCTACTCCATAACTCCCTTTATAAACAGTTTCAAAAAAAGTATATATTTTTTTAAATCATCTACCATATTGGATCCACCATTTTGAATTTTTCAAAACTGACTTCAGATTCGTAATTAGCGAACTCGAAAACCGCCAACAGAGAGTTTCGTAAAAATGTATGTAGTAATTTTGTTACAAATCATCCGCCATTTTGAATTTTTTAGATCTGACTTCAGCTCCGTAATAAGCGAATATATTTTTTATTTAATGCGAAAATTTTAAGTATTTTTTGGGATAACTTAACATTTTTTAGCAAACTAGTCATAAGATGGCATCGCATCACATCACCTCACATAACATCGTACCGACGTACATATGTACGTACGTATGCAAGTGTGTATGCCAACATGTTGCTATAAGTTTTGTGCGAACGTATCTATCATAATTAAAAATTTTGTATAACATCGCGTGAAAATTAGTCAAATCACGTAATCACATCACATCAATCAATATCAGATCGCTACATCAGATTTTGTGATATCATATCCAATTCCTGAGTAAATTGGTTCATAGCGTATATCATAGGCAAATTCTATGTGTAACTCTAAGCAAATTTGCCGAAGAAACCTTGGGTCTAAAATCAATTTGGAGCTTGCCAAACTGCGAAAATAAGTTTCGAAGAAAATTGGAAAATTTTCACTGTTCCGCCCTCTGATGGAAATTTTGAGACAAATTTAAGGCAGAAATTGATTTCTCGTTTTTATACAAAATTTAAGCACTTCTTTACGACACTACGGCAAAATGCTAGGAAACCTCTTTTCTCAATTTGGCAAACTCCAAATTGATTTTGTATCCATAGTTTCTTCTGCAAATTGGCTTAGAATCACCCGTAGAATCCTCCTGTGCTTAACGCTCATAGTACAAAAAAAAAACTACCATACAAAGTGACCCGCCATAATGTACATATATCCCACGATAATATCGCACGACTTAACGTCACATCGCATCGCAGGAATTTAATGTCATAGACAATTACTTCATATGCAATTATCACATCACTCACATCTTAAAATATCCGGCTAAGACTACAATGATCTACTACAAGTAAATTTCGATCACTTTCTATTACTCATTGATTTCAAAATATTTTGAAATTTCCAAATAGCGTAAATTCTATGCTAAATTTAATTTCTGTCTTTACTCAACAGGTGAGCCGGCTATTGAATTGACGCACGTGTGCACATAGACACACACAAAAACAAAAATTCGATTTTAAACGCATTAATATACAAAAAAAAAAATTGAGGCATACCTCAAAGCATTAGTATGTACGTCAACACAAACACAACCATAGGATTTCATAAACAGGTTCACACCACAACCAGACACAATGAGCCACAATTTGAGCAGCCCAAATTTACCTGTGAGCATATTTGGCACACCACATCAATTTAGTAATATTTATTTGTATAAACATACGCGTCGAACAGAGTTTGTATACAGAAAGTAATACTTTTTAATAAAACCTGGGATTCGTAAAATTTTTTTAATTGAAATTTCTTGATTTGCGACGCAAAAAATTAACTTAAGTACTCTGCAACAAAGGAAAACCCCCGCCGAAAATTTGCGACAACGATTCGGACGTGTATTTCAAAACAAAAAGGCCAAACGACGCAGTCAGCGAGCTGGCGGCACAGAACTGAGCCGGTGAAGATGAATGACAAAGCACAGCGACATCAAATCAAATATACAAGTAAAATATAAAGATATACTTAAGAAGAAAAAAATGAATATATGTACATACTTAGATTGGAAATGTGCGAGATTTCTCTCTTTTTTTGTAAGCACGCACTCACACATTCATATGTAAATACATACATACTTACTCGCGTACGTTTAACAATGACTAAATGAAGGTCTCACGAATTGAGCGCGACCTGATTGTCAGCCATAATTTAAACCAAAATTTTATCGGCAACGAGCTAACCAAGGCGTATGAGTAATCGGCGAATGGCGAAAATAAGTGCTAGAGATTCATCGACCAAGTGACTGACTGTGTGACTGAACGACTGCAAGACTAATTGCCTGGCGAATAGTAAGCGTTGTTTATTTAATATATGTACATACATACATGCATATATGAACACATATGTATGTTTGTATGTGAGAATGTAGCATGGTTGGTAAATATGTGGTACACAAGCATTTTAATACTCGTAGAAGCAATCAAAGAAAAAATTGTTGATGTCAAAAAAAAAAATATATATTTTCGTATTCGTTTAGAATATGCAAAAACGTTGAGTGGACTAGCAAAAGCAAGTAATCAATGTATTTATTAACGTACATTTCAATTAGATATGTGCATTAGACCGTACCACCTTACAAGCAAACAAAAAAAAAATCACCGTATACCACTGAGCTTAAATTATTTTTGAAAAGCAACTCCGAAAAAATTTTTGTTTTGCCCGAACCTAGGTGAAACATATACTATTTTTTTTAGGAGTTCTACTGCAATAATTATATAATATTTCCTCAGCAAAAGTTTAATGATTTTTGGCGAGCTTTAATTTACTGACACTAGGGTGGTACGTTAGGGTTGCAGGAACGGAAATCTATTGGGCAAGCACAAAAACGGGGTACTTGAGGTCAATGAACTTTTGAACAAAAGAACATCTGCCGAAGATATTACGAAAACTGTAAAAAGGCGACCCTTACGTTCGCCCCAAAAAAAAAAAAACAATTTTTTTCGAAATTGCCTTGCAAAAAAATTTTGCACATAGTGGTGTAAGGAGAACTTGTTTTTTCTGGTGCGCTCTAATGTGCATACATACAAATTTTCTACAAAACTTACATGTATGCAAGGCTTTTGGTACATATGCAAATATATGTATTCGTATGAAATACAACAATAAATTAAGTATGCATGAGCTGTTGCGCACAAGACGGGTGGTAAACCTTAGACAACGATCGTACCACTAAGTAAATAAAGTTAACTGCAGAAACCGCAAAACGATACTCAATAGTACGTAAATATTCAGTTAATTTTGAAGAGAGGCGAGCGTTTTTTTTCAGCCAGCAGCTAAGCAGTGTTTTGATATGCGTAGCGTTTTATTTTAAATGTCTATTTATATAGTTCGTTTTAAAAATCATGTTGTTAAGATATCAATCACATTGGTTCTCGAATGATGTACATACAGTATGTATATACTTTCAGAGAAACAGATATCTATGTATGATAAATCAATGATAATTAAGACAACGTTGTGTGTTAAAAAGATATCTAGAGGTTGCGTACTCTAAGTTTTAGCGTTCCACTAATCCTATACATTTTAAAGGTTTGTTCCAATACTGTGAGGAATTCCATAGACAGCGCCACATTACCTTCTCTTCACAAATAGCACAAAATAAAAATGCATATTATGTAGAACAAATGTATTCATTCAAAAACCACACATAACTGGTAGCAACGCGAAAGCGCGACAAACTCGATTTACATAAATATGCATTTATACAATTCAATGCGTGGAAACATGCTGTCATAAGTATGTACTACATTTACATGCATTTACGCATACATTTTTTTAACTTCTGTAGCTTTCCAATACTCGTTTGTCTAACAATACGAGACTGAGAGATAGAGAAAACGTCAGCGCATGCGCGACAGTTGAATACTTTCCAGGCGCTATACTTAGGTTTCTAGCTAGCAAGTGTATGCAGTAATCAAACTTGTATATGTAAATGCATGATCGTTAGTTATTTATTAGATGTGTGGCAGCGTAGTTGTGGGTTTTTCAGAAATAGGCGCATTTGGAATTTAGTATTCTTATCGCGCTATACTTGGCTATCAGCCATCGGTTGGGCAGCTACTGGTGTTGGCTACGCTACGCTCTAATGCGAAAAAATAAACGATTCAGTAAATATGGTGATGAAATTTTTAGTAGAAAATATGTACATACATATGTGTATATGTAAAAATTTTAGTCAAAACTAGAATGAGTATAAAATTGCATTTTGGTGGGGGTATGTCAATGGCTTAAGCACAAATCGAAGAACAAGTTCCGAAGCTCAGAGATATGACCTGTATTAACGAAGTTTTTTTTTCAGAACAAACCAGCGATTTTCATTACTGGCTAAATGATTTTTTTTTGTATAATTTCTTAAAAGACATATTTGTTGTCTCATACGATATTGCTCTGAAGGCTATTGCTCGGCTGAAAAGTCCAAAAA